CGCAGCCTCCCCTCCTCGCAAAGCATCATGGTAGAAGCCAATGCAAATGAGGCTGTTCATCTCCCCCGCCTCCCCGCCCGGTTCGTTCTCCGTGGGCTGCGATGTTAGGGATAAACCCGGGCGATCCAATCGGAGCCACGCCTCAAGTTACCATCAGAATACTAAGTGACGTCAGTCAAGTGGGGCTCGCTTAGATGACGTTTTACCTGGCTCCGATCTGAGCGCCGATCTTGAGTCGCCAACAAAACATTAAACCTCAGCCAAACTGAGCGGGGAGGCGGGGAACTGAGCAGCCTCATTTGCATGAACTTCAACCGTGATGCTTTGCGAAGAGGGAGGACCCGCGTCTCTCCCGAGATGGGTGCCCCGTTTCGCTTCGAGCGAAAGTTCCGGTTCTCGAACCGCGGAATGTTTAAGAATGCCTTTTTTTCCACCCACGGACACATGTTTCGTCGCGATCGCGCGGGACGCCGTAACCTCAAGGTTTATTGCTACCGTAGCGGTCGCTGTCGGTGGAAAAAAANGGCGGCGATGCTGGCCGGCGCTCGCTTCATTTACCGCCCGCCACCGCTGCCCCTGCGGCCTACCATCTTCAGCCCCGGCCACCCTGCTTGGCTGGCTGGGAAAGCGGTGAGGGGGTGAGCGCCGGCCAGCATTACTGCCTCCTTCCTCTAAGAGCCACAGTGAAGCGGCAACAGATCAGGTGCCATCTGGGGAAAGCCCCTCAGTGCCGTTGATTCTCGGCACAAAACAAAGCGGGGCGAAGAAGGAGTCTCTGGTGGCTGCAGCAGAAGTGGCGGCGGCGGCGGCTGGAACACTGTCCTGGGCAGTCAATTCTGGCTCTCCCTTTCCCGAGCATGTCCTGTTGCTTCTGGTGCCGGTTTTGGTGAATGTGGCTCAGCGGCGGAGCTCTTGCCATCGCTGAGAGCATCACTGGAAGCCGCTTCTTGCCATCACCATTCAGCCAAACCCATCAAAAGCGGCCGCAGCAGCAACGGAACATGCTCAGGGAAGGGAGAGCCGGAACTGACTGCCCAGAACAGTATTTCAGCCGCCACCGCCGCTTCTGCTGCAGCCACCAGAGACTCCGTCCTCACCACCCCTTTGTTTCGGGCCGAGAAGCAACACCTCTGAGGGCCTCTCCCCGGATGGCCCCTGAGGCTGCCTCGCCTCTTTCTGCCCCACGGAGAAAAGAGCAGCTCCCCTCTCCCCTTCCTTGGCCTACCTGCTATTTATGGGGGGGGGGGGGAAGTGCCCCTTGGCTGTGGATTCTCAACGGTTAGGAGGTTGAAGGAGCTACTGGAGGTGAAGAGCAGTGAGGGATTTTGGCAGCGTGAGAGAAAGACTTCCAAGTCAGTGGCTTTATGGCTTTAACCGTCTGCCTTAATCCTCCTTGTTGCTCTTCTCTGGACTCTTTCTTGAATCTCAACATCCCTTTTACATCGTGGCCACCAAAACTGAAAACAGAGTTCCAAGTGTGGCCTTCCCAAGGCCTTAGAACAGGGGTGCCCAAACTTGGCAACTTTTAAGACTTGCGGACTTCAACTCCCAGAATTCTCCAGCCAGGATAACAGCATAGCTCCAGACGCCATAGCTGGCTGGAGAATTCGGGGAGTTGAAGTCCCAAAGTCTTAAAAGGAGCTAAGTTTGGGCACCCCTGTCTTAGAAAGTGGCACTAACGCTTCACATGATCTTGATTCTCAATCTCGCTGTTGATGTAGCCTGGGAGTGAACGGGCTTTCTTGGCAGCTGCAGCCAACAGCTGGCTCCCCCATAAATGCAAGGCGTCCCGCGCGACGTGCATAAACGTGTCCATTGGTTCACAAGATCTTTTCGGACATTACCGCCTGTTCCAGAGCCGGGACTTTCGCACGGAACGAAACGCTGCATCCACCACGGTAGAATCGCAGCCTCCCCTCCTCGCAAAGCTTCACGGTAGAAGCCAATGCAAATGAGGCTGTTCATCTCCCCCGCCTCCCCGCCCGGTTCGTTCTCCGTGGGCTGCGATGCTAGGGATAAACCCGGGCGATCCAATCGGAGCCACGCCTCAAGTTACCATCAGAATGCCAAGTGACGGCAGTCAAGTGGGGCTCGTTTAGATGACGTTTTCGGTGGGTCCGATCTGAGCGCCGATCTTGAGTCGCCAACAAAACATTAAACCTCATTCAAACTGAGCGGGGAGGCGGGGANGCCTTCTCCTCCCTCTCTCCCTCATTTCTCTCTGGCCACACACATGGAGTAAGGAGGTGGGGATGCTGGCCGGCACTCGATTCATTTACCGCCCGCCACCGCTGCCCCTGCGGCCTACCATCTTCAGCCCCGGCCGCCCTGCTTAGCTGGCTGGCTGGCTGGGAAAGCGGTGAGGGGGTGAGTGCTGGCCAGCATTCCTGCCACCTGCCTTCTTCCTCTTAAGCGCCACAGTGAGGCGGCAACAGGTCAGGTGCCATCTGGAGAAAGCCCCTCAGTGCCGTTAATTCTCAGCCCGAAACAAAGCGGCGGGGAGGAAGGAGTCTCTGGTGGCTGCAGCAGAAGCAGCAGCGGTGGTGGCGGCTGGAACACTGTCCTGGGCAGTCAGTTCTGGCTCTCCCATCCGTCATACAATTTATCCTGCAGACCCCTCAATCCTCTTTGTTGCTCTTCTCTGGCCTCTTTCTAGAGTCTCAACGTCCTTTTTACATCGTGGCCACCAAAACTGGAAGCAGAGTTCCAAGTGGGGCCTTGCCAAGGCCTTAGGACACGGGTGCCCAAACTTAGCACCTTTTAAGATTTTGGGACTTCAAGTCCCAGAATTCTCCAGCCAGCTCCAGCCCCCATAGCTGGCTGGAGAATTCTGGGAGTTGAAGTCCCAAAATCTTAAAAGGTGCTAAGTTTGGGCACCCCTCCCTAAGAAAGTGGCACTAGCGCTTCATGGGATCTTGATTCTCAGTCTCGCTGTTGATGGAGCCTGGGAGCGCATGTGCTTTCTTGGCAGCTGCAGGCAACAGCTGGTTCCCCCATAAATGCAAGGCGTCCCGCGCGACCGCGCATAAACACGTGTCCCTTGGTTCACAAGAAGATTTTTTCGGACATTACCGCCGGTTCCAGAGCCGGAACTTTCACGCGGAACGAAACCCTGCATCCACCACGGCAGAATCGCAGCCTCCCCTCCTCGCAAAGCATCACGGTAGAAGCCAATGCAAATGAGGCTGTTCATCTCCCCCGCCTCCCNCCTGCTTACAGAAACTGCCTCTCCGGTTAACCCTGATTACATTGTAAGAGCTAAGGCGAAGCTCCCATTGACGTGAGTGATGTCAAGTTGGCCATGCCTATCCAGTCACATGACCACCGAGTCACACCTACCCAGCTGGTCATTAGGGCAGAGAACAGGTTGTTAAATTATTTGAATCCCCCTGCTCCGGAGACTAGAAACGGGCTCATTTCCTGAACTTCCGGGAGGCCTGTTTTTTGCTCTCCCGGAGCCTCTGCGCAGGCCCTGCACTTGCCTAGCATCCAAAATGGGCCACGTGGAGACTCCCAGGAGGGATGGGGTGGGCGGGGCCAGCCAGTCCTTGCAACTACCAGTTCGGTGAACTAGATGTAAAATTAGAATCTGGTTCGGCCGAACCGGCTGAATCCCACCCCTGGCTACACGTTTCTTGTTTTCCAAAGGAATTCTACAAGTTGCATATTTGTCCTCAGTTAGCGTTTCTTCTTCCCCCAACATCTGGAAGCATGTGACCCCCACCCTTTTCTGTTCAGGACCTCAAGCCATGTGGTCCTGCCCACCATTAAACCATCTTTCCAAACAGCCTCCATGTTTCTAGTGTCTTTTCCCCCACTTGGAACTGAACCCAGAAGGACTTTTCTTCCAACAATATCCTGCCTTTTTAATATTTCCTAGAATATTTCATTCTTCTAGGAGAGGGATGGGTGCTAACCTCCTACAAGTCAAGCATAAAACAACTGGTGGGGGAGCTGTTTTCAGCTCCAAGCTGTACCATGGAGATCACTTGCCTATAAAATCACCCAGAGTCGGGCAAAACCAAAAGGTTCTTATAGACAAACAATTTCTCAAGTACCTCCTATATACGGTGAGGAAACGGGTCTCAATTGCCCTAAAAACAGGATGCAGAGTAATAAGAAAAAAAGAGGGTTCGTACTTAAACCATAAACACACCTCGGGCTTTTAAAAATTTGTTTCCAATTTATCAGAAATAGTTGAGACTATAAAACCAATGGGTTAAGTTCAAAGATCACCCTACTCTGATTGAAAAATTGGAGGAACACCGAAGAGGGGGGGAAAATGTTGGGGGTACAAAGTATAAACAGAATAAGCAAATAGGATTTGCAATCTGCTTGAACAAAAGTTTTGTTCCTTTTCGGGAGCAGACTTGGTGTGAAGTTTAATGCTGCCATCTACTGTTAATAGAAATAGAAATAATAATCGGAATAGAAATAGGAAAAGAGTAGAATAGAATGGAATAGGAATAGGAATAGAATAGAAATAGGGATAGGGATAGGGATAGGGATAGGATAGGATAGGATAGGATAGGATAGGATAGGATAGGAATAGAATAAGGAATAGGAATGGAATAGAATGGAATAGAATAGAATAGAATAGAATAGAGAATAGGGAATAGAATAGGGAATAGGAATAGAATAGGAATAGAATAGATTGGAAGAGACCTTGGAGGTCTTCTAGTCCAGCCCCCTGCTCACGCAGTAGAACCTATTCCTTCTCAGACAATTGACTGTCCAGTCTTTTCTTAAAAGCCTCCAGTGATGGAGCAGCACCACAACGTCTGGAGGCCAGCTGTTCCCCTGGTTAATTGTCCTCACTCTTAGGAAGTTTCTCCTTAATCCCAGGCTGTTTCTCTCTTTCATTATTTGGATTTTGTTTATTTGTTGAATAAAGCCACAGTTTCTGTTTGATCGATACCATAGGCGGAATGTGCTGGTTCTCAGGCGTTAACTCCACAAGTACTGTGTTGTTGTTTTTTCACATGTCGTCTTTTCTAAAGATCGGATGCGACCCGCTTCCGTTGGCACCAAACAGCTCCTTTCGACAAGCAGCAAACGTGGGCTATTGACAATGTCTACATAGGCGACGGCTGTATAGATATGTGCAGCGGGCATGGAAGATGTACTGAAGGAAACTGCGTGTAAGTATTAACTCCACTGAGAGAGACATGTTAGGGCAGGGGTTGGCAAACATAAACACTCAAAGAGCCACTTGGACGCGTTTCCCACAGAAAAGAAAACACCGGGAGCCACAAAGGTCCTAACCGGACACCCCCTGTTCAATTCTAGAGCTGCCCGGAAGTTCAGTTCCCCCACCATAGAGTCTCCTCAGAGCACGGCATACTTTTTCCTCTACCTGTCCTAACTGAAAGCCCTATCAATTGTGGAGACAACTGGGAAACCCTCCCCTTGCCATAGAGTCT